GTCCTAGGCTGCTGTAGAAATTTTGTTGTACTGAGGAAAGAGCCTCTTCAACAGAACTAGATTCAAATTGGGTCCCACTGCTTGCTTTCTGTATAACATCTCTATGTAATGCTTAATACGGTTCCAGTAAATATTATCTGAGATGGTGTATTTGATAGTATGCTAGTGTACCCTTGATATTTAGTCTGATTTTCTCCCAAATTTTTATTTTGAAAAATTATAGACCCACGGAAAAGATACCAGAATAGTACAGTGAATATCCATGTACTCTTAATCAAGTTTCATCATTTAACATTTCACCACATTAGCGCACACACATTGCTTTTCTTTCACTAAGTATATGCCTGTATTTGTTGGTCTGTAAAGCTGTATGTGGGTTTGTGCACATAAACATACATACTTCTGCTGAATCATTCTGAGAATAAGTTGGCATTTCCCTGCTTATTCTTGATCTAGGTTGGTACAGTTTAAATCTGTCACTTTCCTCTTTGGATTTAGCCTGTAATTGTCAGCCCTTTCTTTGAGGGCCTGTTTATTCTCTCTTCTATTTCCAACATCCTATCTTACCTTCGCCATTGAGAGTTATAACTCAGCCATCTTGGGTTCAGGGCAGATGAGGTCTCCTTACTTTGTACCCAGGAAACAACAAAAAATGCCCTTCATCTTACTTTCATTCTTTTATGATACTTAGAATAGGGTAACCTATGGGAAAAGAAAAAATGAAATTGAGTTTTTATTTTTCACAAGGGGCTACAACCATGCCACTCACTTTTACTTAAGCCTTATTTACTTCTCCAGTAACCCTCTGAACTAGTTAGTAATATAACCAAAGCAGATGCATTCATGTTAGATAATTTGCCCAGGATCTTATAGATAGGATTTGAACTCAGGTACCTAACTCCAAAGCCCATGCTGCTTCCAGGGCATCAGAGTATTTACAGACGTTTACTTTTAGGAATATAAGAAATACGTTTTCCTGTTCACCTTTTAGATTAAGTTATGCCTCTTTTGGTCTTTATTATGACTGTTACTGGAATTCTTGGAAGAAATAATTCACTGGCTACATTTCATTCACCTGTAAGTACCGATTGTTATCTTACAACTTAAGCACACAGACTTCTTTATCATGCTCCAAACACAGTTCTTTGTTTCTCCATCAGTACATTGCATAAGGGGTCTATTAGTATTTTCTGAGAAGGGCTACATAGTGAATAATTTAGGCTTTCCAAACCATACATTCTCTGTTGCAGCTACTCAGCTCTCCCATTGTAGCACGGAAGCACCATAACAAATGCATAAGTGAACGAGTGAGACTGTGTCCCAATAAAAGTGTTTTCCAACAAGTCCTACTTGACCTGTAGGCCATCGTTTGTTGACCATGGTATTAATCATCATCATCTTATATGCCCATTAGAGTTTATATGCTAGGGAAATGTTGAAAGGAACATTGTTAAGTGACATATGAATACCCATCTCCTCTCTGTATTTACTTGTTTATGTGGATGCAGGGACCAGTTTTGTATGTACCTTCTGCATTAGAAAACACAGATGAAGCAATAAATATATCAGGCACCTTGAAACATTGTATCATGAAAGTCAGTTTTGTAGTGAACAGAGAACATCCTATTAAAAGACTAGTGATTTCTTAAAAAAAAATTTCAAGGTACATGACCCCTGCCCTAAAACATGTGGTAATAATATGTTCCATCTAGCATATTCTAGCCATATTCTGATTGCTATTTGAGAAATGTTAAATGTGCCTAGCATAGGCAAAAAAACAGAAACACAAAACAGATGTGACAGTGGAAATTTCAGTAAATACGTACGGGAAACTTGATGATTCCTGGGTCACACTATTCTCACACAAATAACATAATCAGGAGATCCATTTCTAATAGTTTGTTATAGAAATAGAAAGGATGCATGTGTTATTTACATTTATATTTATTATTTCCTCATTTTTATCATTTCTCGTAGAGATAGTTATCTTAAGGGGAACTATTTCTCCTTCATGCCTATTAGTCAACAACTTTCTTTCCTAATCTGTTGAACCTTGTATCTGTTGAAATTTGTGTGATTAATTCTAAGTAATTACATTGATATTATGCAGTTTTTTTCATATACACATCATATTATCTGTTGTTTGAAACTCTCGTCACTTTTTCTCTTTTATAAAAGAAGATTCAACTCCATTCGAAGAATCACTTACCTTTTGAGAAGTCTGAGAAAGTTGTCTTCTTAACTATAAACATTTCTGAAAAAATGCAGTGATCTTTGGCTCATTTAGTACACTGATTACTTCATGTGTACCCCAGCATTGTTGAATAGGCTTTTTTCTTTAAAAAAAAAAAAAAAAAAAACTGAAAAATGAAAAGAGAATATAGAGCAAAACATGAGATGCAGTGATCAGAAGAAAGTTTATAGTTGTAAATGCCTACATTTAAAAAGAAGAAAGATCTTAAACCAGCAATCTAACTTATACTGTAAGAACATAGAAAAAGAAAACCAAACCCAGGACTAGTAGGAGGAAGGAAGCAGTAAAGATTAGAGCAGAAATTTTTAAAAACAGAATAGGAAAACTACAGAACCAACAAAATCAAAAGTTGGTTCTCTGAAAAGATCAACAAAATTGACAGATGTTTAGCTAAATTGACTATGAAAAAAAGGAAGAGTCTAATTAAAAAATCAGAAATGAAAATAGGGGCATTACTACTAATCTTTAAAAAATAAAAGGGATTATAAAAGAATACAGTGAACAATTAATTATATGCTAAAAAATTAGACACTCTAGGTGAAATAGACAAATTCCTAGAAATATGTACACCAGGAAAACTGAAGAAATAGCAAAATCTGAATAGAATTAAAACAAGTAGTTTGGCAGTTTCTCTAAAAGTTAGACATAGACTTATCGTGTGACCGAGCAGTTCTTCTCTTAAGTGTCTACCCAAAAGAATTGAAAAGAGGTACTCAAATAAATACTTGCACACAAATGTTCATAGCAACTCTATTCACATTAGTCCGAAGCTGGATAAAACCAAAATGTTCCATCAGTGGATAAATGCATAAACAAATTATAATATATCTGTACAAAGGGATAAAGTTCTGATACATGCTACAAGATGAACTTTGAAAACATTGTACTGAGAGAAGCCAGACACAAAAGGTCACATACTGCATTATTCCATTTATTTGACATATTCAAAATAAGTCCAGAGAGATAGAAGCAAATTAGTTGTTGTCAGAGGCTTGAGAAAAAAGGGAGGAATGGAAATGACTGTTGAATGGGTATGGAATTGTCTTTTGGGGTGATGAAGTGTTCTGGAACTAGATAGTGATGGTTGCACAATATTAAGAATGTACTAAATGTCACTGGTTGGAAATATAATGGTTAATTTTATGTTAATTCCACCTCAGAGTTTTAAGCTGAAACGTAAATATTATTTAAAATTATTAAGTAGTGTGATAAACTAAAAATGAAAGTTTTTCTGGAGGCAGGGACTGGACTACTATGACTAGTGTTATAAAGTTCTATTGATTCTTTCTCACCAGAACTGAGGTTTATTTCTCCGTGCCTTTATGATACTCAGTAGCCAGAATGACAGGCACCCAGAGTATGGTGATAACTGTAAAGGTTATTAAATATGGAGTGGGAGAATACTAAATATGTTAGTGAAATCACAGTTTTCGTTGTAGAACCTCTTCTCAAGTGCATCTAACACACTTTCGAGTGGAGGTCTTCTTTTTTCCCTCAGCTTCCAGAAAGCTTGAAAACAAATTCTGCTACATTGAGTTCATTTACTTTATGATAGGGTCAGTTGATTAGCAGGTCAGCGCTGCTAAATCTCTGGATTTCAGTGCAGTACTCGATAAGAGTCTCATGATGTCTCTGTGGCTTATGTTAGAGCTCTCTCCTCAGCCTTGTCGTCCTGGACAGATGGTTATTATGGATCAAATATAGCAAGATGAATTTTATTAGAGATAAATGTTAAGTCTTGCACTTGGAACCAAAGAACACAAACTGAACAAGGAAGCCATTGGAGGGACGTGACTTAATAGCAATAAAGATTGACAGGGTGTGATCTCTCTTAACCTCTCAATATGAGCATGTAGCACAAATGTATTGTTTATGTAGTCTCAGAAACTCCTCTGCATTAATAAGACTACATCTGGGGCATTGTTCTCCATTCCCTTTTCCAAGAGACTTTGGCAAATGGAAAATAAATCTGGAAGTCTGTGTCAGGGATGGTGGGGAGGACATTCACACTATGTCATGAGACACAGTTGATGAAAACAGGAATGGCTAGTCTTGAAAATATTGGTACTCTTTTAAACAATGAGAGCTCTCCATAAAGAAAAAACACATGGAGAAAAGAAGAGAATTGACTCTCTTGTGTGCTTATGAAAGCATTCAAGCAAAGACTGGGTGGACATTTTTCAAAAATGTGCTCATGAAAGCATTCAAGCAAAGACTGGGTGGACATTTTTCAAAAATGATATTGATGATTAGAGTGGAACTCAGGGGATTTCCCTGGTGGCCCTATGATTAAGGCTTCACCTTGCAGTGCAGGAGACAGCAGGTTCCATCCCGGGTGGGGTCACTGAGCTCCCCCATGCCACTGAGCAACTGAGTTCTTAGGCCACAACTGGAGAACTTGTATCCTACAACAAAAGATCCCATGTGATGCAACTAAGACCCAACATAGCCAGATAAATAATTATTTTTAAAAAGCAGTGGAACTACATAGCAACTAAAATATTCTTTCAACTCTAAGATTGTATGAATCTACATAATTTCTAAAAAGCAGGCAACATGAAGACATGAGGATGGGCAAAAAGAGAAAACAAAGGTTTAAACTAATAAAATTCAACAAGTTCTTAGATATTTCCTAAATTCAAAGCATTGTTCAAGTTGCCATAAATAATTTGAAAGTGATGTCATTTTCAGATTTGGGCCCATAATCAATGAGAAGATAACTCGTTTCCTTGGCCTTGTTTTATAGTCTAGTCTCCTGAGACAAGATCTAGGACTTGGAAGCCCAGCACAACTCTCTTCTTCAGGAAAACCTGGGACACCCTACTACTCATTTTCTGCCACAAGTTCCAGGAGAAGACCACTTCATGACTCTGCAGCACTTGGTAAGTGTATCACACAACAAATCCCATTTTAAAAACGTTTCTTCCCCACCATCACCCCCATTAATTTATGCTTCTGGCTACACCTCTAATTAGAAGAAATTTGATTTCTTGGGTGTCATGATGCTATTAGGGCTTATTTGCATAAAGTAGTATATACTTAATAAACGATTTAATATTTTTATTTGGTCATCACCTTAAGAGGAACTGAATAGTGGAAAATTGAGCTTTAAAAATGGGACTAGTTTTCCCTCTTGTAATAAAAATGTCATGTACTAATATTAATACCTTATTCTTGACTACAGTTGATACAATGCTAAACAGTCTGCGAAATGGTTTTGTAATATACTTTCTCATTTCATTCATATAGCAGTCCTACTAGTCAGTGGGCGTAATACAAGCTTTAACATAAAACTGAGGCTCAAAGGAGGACATATTCATATACCTAGTAGGTGGTTTATGCAGACTTTCTGACTCCAAGTCCAATGTTCTTTGCGTATTCATTGCATCTATTCCTCAACTTTTTAAAAATTGTGGTAAAATTAATATAAAATTATCCTTATTAAAGTGTACAATTCAGTGACATTTAGTATATTTGCAATGCTGTACAACCATTTTCTCTATCTAGTTCCAAAAAACCACCTCAAAAGGCAGCTCAGTAACTATAAAGCATACACCTCTCGTTTTCGTTACTTCTTCCTTCGTGTCTTATGTGTAGCCTAACCAGGCCAGTCTGTTTCATATTGCTGCTTACAGCAAGCCTCAGGTGTACTCTGATACCATATCCAGTCAATGTTTAAATGCGGGAATTTTGGATTATTCTTACAAAGAATCCTTTATATGAGAAAATTGAAACTGTAAAGCATGTTTATATTGAGGATAGGCCAACCTCTAAAATAAACATAGTCGACCAAAAGAAAATAGGTCCACAAATACTTGTTATGCTTCTAATTTGTGTATCTACCTCTGTCAGGGGCTTCCCAGGTGGCACTAGTGGTAAAGAATCTGTCTGCCAGTGCAGGAGACATAAGAGACATGGGTTTAATCCCTCAATCAGGAAGATCTTCTGGAGAAGAGCATGGCAACCTACTCTATTCTTCCCTGGAGAATCCCATGGACAAGGAGCCTGGCAGGCTACAGTTCATAGTGTCGCAAAAAGTTAGACACGACTGGAGCGACTTAGCACACAGGCACCTCTGTCAAACCCAAAATTTGGTAAAATATTCCTCGCCTTTGAGTCTAGAGTATGCTTGAGGGTATAAAAGGGCACAGTGATGGATTTTCATATTAGTCATAGAGATCTCTAGTTAAATGTGCCCACCTCTCCTTATATGTGATTGAGTATTTGTGCTATTGGGAAAGCCCCTGTGATTTAGAGCAATATACTTATTAAGGAAATGGTAAGATACAGTATCTTTTCTCCATCTCCACTTTTGTTTCCCACCAAATCAGTTAGTCAGGGTAAAAACATTATTTTGACTCTAGATGTGTCAATGTCACTCTAGAAAAGTATCTTGTTAGAATGCTTTGTGAGCACACACTGTGTCAAAAAGCACTAATGTAGACTAGTATACTACTACTCAAAGTTCAGGGAGGAAATGAGCTCCTGGAATATTGGGGGTGAGGGGAGGGAGTTGATCTCATAAAAACTCAAGCTTCCCAGAAATTAAAGCTTGTATGTTCATTTTTATTTTGATTATGATGTTAGATACTGTGGATTCTCTCTTTTATGCCAGGTACAGTGTTATACATATTGTATCTTTATAAAAATTCTAGTAAGTTATAATATTAACCTCATGTTATATGAGCTTCCTTTGTGGCTAAGCTGGTAAAGAGTCTGCCTGCAATACGGGACACCTGGGTTCAATAACTGGGTTGGGAAGATCCCCTGGAGAAGGGAAAGGCTACCCACTCCAATATTCTGGCCTGGAGAATCCCATGGACTGTATAGCCCATGGGGTCACAGAGATGGATACGACTGAGCGACTCACTTCACATGTTACAAATGAGGAACCAATATGCAGGAAAGTAAGCAACTTAGCCAAAGCTTGATATTCGAGGAGGCCCACTCATCTACTGTGTAAATACCATCTAGTAAATTATTATTCCACTCTTCATTGTTATTTCCTCAGTCTTAGATACTCTTTCTTGGTATTGCAATTATTCATAAAATCTCTGGATTTCAGAGATAATCTATACCAATTTTAGCATCTTTTCACGATATTTAGATGCTTTAGAAAATCAACATTCTGCAAAACACTGACTTACAATTGATAATAGTTTTGCCACAAATTTTAATATAAACCTAATAATAATGGCTAAAATTTATTGTGTCACTTTCTGTTAGGTACTGCCCTGAGCATCTTTCTTTATTCCCTTTATTGCAACAGCTCCAGGAAGTTATTGTAGAGAACTGAAGTTCAAAGAAGTAACTTGCCCAAGCTCACACAGCTGCTTTATGATGGAGCTTAAATTTGAATCCAATCAGCTTACTCTCTTAACTATTATACTTTGAAACCTCCTAAGAGTGAACTCTGTATTCTAAAGTCATGGTTTTGAATCCAACATTTACGTATGTAATTGTATAATGGCAACTGATGATTAGATTAAAAATATAAAAGAAGAATTTCCATTCCCAGGGCAGGGAAAAAACTGACCTAATCTAAAGAACAATGTATTCTACTGCTAGTTATCCCAAAGTAGAGTGATGGGCTTTAGACTTATAGGAACACTTCAGTTGACTCTCTTTATATATATGGACTGTGTCTTTTGCTCAAGGGATACTGTATTAGTTGTGAAGAGTTGGGTTTTAGAAAAAGCCTCCCAAAGAACAAAAATTTTGCTGGTAAGTTTTATAAATATAGTGTGTGCCAGATGTTGTTTATCTTTGGCACTTTTATTTTAAGGAAATATAGGCTGCCTCTTGGTAGGGACCAGATGCTAATGAGTGTTTTTTCTCTCTCTTTATTGTATATAATTTTTCCACATACTACTTATGAAGTTGCTTTTTTAGCTTTGTAGCCTCCTGGTATATTTACTATAAAGAATCCCAGCCCAAATTTAAATGAATTTCACTCTTTTGTAAACAATTGCATGTTTTCCTGTCATATTATTTATGACCCACGAAAATAGCATTTTTGCCATTCTAACTTTTATAGTTTTCTAAAACATTGTAATTAATGTTAGCCTTCTTATGTATTTTCTCTTCTTAATAGCGAACCCATCTGAGAGATCCTGAATTTGATCCATTATTTGTGTGTAATTGGAAGGCTGCATTTAACACCATTTTTTACAATAAAACAAACCAAGTATTAAATTTTACAAATAAGTAAAATTAAAATACCAAGTGAGACTGGGTCAGTCAGTTCAGTCACTCAGTCGTGTCCGATTCTTTGCGACCCCATGAATCGCAGCACACCAGGCCTCCCTGTCCATCACCAACTCCCAGAGTTTACTCAAACTCACGCCCATTGAGTCGGTGATGCCATCCAGCCATCTCATCCTCTGTCGTCCCCTTCTCCTCCTGACCCCAATCCCTCCCAGCATCAGGGTCTTTTCCAATGAGACTGGGTAGGCATATGAAAATATTCATGTTATCCTTTAGTAAATAATCTGTATCTTAGAAAGAAATATACTTTAATTGTTTCTTGGAAATAAATATAAACATCCAAGAATAAATTGTATAGAAATTAGTGCTGAAGTTTCTGTTTTAACCACATATTGTTACAGGAAATATTCTTCTGGAATACTTACAGGATGTATCATATATGACAATGCTTGTGTTTAATTGTTTATGTAACATATCTCAGATATTAGTATAACCTTAACTTTTCAGTTATTAAATATTACAAATTTTTAACATAATTTGTAGCATGGCATTAGCTTTAAGTCTATTTAATATGCTTTTAAACCTAATTCTCAGTGTGATATGAACATTAGATTTGTGTCTCTCTTAAGGAATCATATTATTAAACTGACCTGTTGCACCAAATGCCCATCTGCAGATGAAACTGAGATAAATGATGTAAAGTGCCTAGTATGAAGCCTGTACATAATAGGTACTTAAGAAATATTATTCCCTTTTCTTAAACATGCTTATTGGTTTGTTATTTTCTCTCTTGTTTTACTTTGTTTGCTGTCGTCTTCCCAGACTTACAGGATATGTATTTTCAGAGTACATCACTTCATTAGGAGTACGTGTTTTACACTAGAACTGGTTAGGAAGAATGGAGCTCCTGTCCCTGTATTCCCTTACTTATTCCTAAATCCTGGAAAACGAGGAAGGTACTAGGAGGGAAATTCTTTCCCGCTCATTTGAAGTCTGAACTTTTCTAAAATAAGTACTGATGAAATATACTGTTTCCCATGTACAGATCCTTTGCAAGCAAAGAAAGTCAGAAAGGTGCCTCCTGGTTTGCCTTCTTCTGTAAGTACCACTTCTTTTTTTTTTTTTTTTTACTTTGTGGTAAGCAAATTAATTTCAGGTATTCAGTATCTGCAGACGATCAGAATACATTCAGTTGGTGTCAGTAGGCATACTTCACATAGTAATTGCTCTCTGCTTCACAGAATCATTGATTGAGTTAAATCTGAACTCAGTGTTAGGTTTTTAGATTTCTCTGCAATGATTTGTAGCTTACTCATATGCTTTTACTCTGTGTCCCTGTCATTTGAATTCCCCTCTTGGGAAGAGGACTAGGCCGGTAGCTGTCAAAGAAGATCTCCTGTACAGGTCTTTTGATGTTTAATTAGTCATTATGTTGCTGAACAGGAAGACAGACAGAGATTAATAGCTGAGAATCTTAGAAATTTACATTTGTAATAATCCCAATGGAGCTAAAGACATTAGGATTCGACGGACATGTTCGGCTCAGCTTGCCTCAGTAGGACTGAGGTTATTAATATGCATAAATCACCAAGTCAGATGTTCATTGTGAATCTCTTGTGGATTTTAAAGCCTTCATTAAGCCTTTCCTAACTTCAGACTAGCATCAGGAAAGCTTTCGAGCAACTAGTTTGTTGATCCCTCTTTGCTCAAAAATGTATCCTTTGAGAATAAAGAGCTTCATGAGAATAAAGAGGTTGGAAAGGTTTGGTGAACAATCATTAATGGCCATGATAATCTGATGCTGTAGGGTGTTTGCGCTGTTAAATATACTTTATTCTCTTAAAGAGTAAAAGTATTTGTAAATGAACCTACATCATAAATCCACCTACAATTTAAAAATCCCTGGTGTGAGAAGGGGAGAGTTTCTTCCTCTCCCTTTGCATAGAACAAATGGGGAGTGGGGCTTTTGGATTGAGGCCTCATGCCTTGTAGGGTACATCTCTTTGTTGTGTAAATAGATGTTGGCCTTTTATTTGGCAGTACTTAACACATGGGCGCAGGTGCTGCTGGGTGAGTCACAGCTCATCCAAGTATACACTGAATGGAATATCCGGCTTGGCAAATAGTAATCTAGAAGGAGCAGCATGGGTCTGAGCTTTTTATTTTTTATTAAGGCTGAAGTAGAGATATCATCTTTTTGGTTGTTTGCCTTCCTTCTTTCCTATGTTCTTCCCCTGCCTTCTCTTCTGTATGATACATGAAAACTCAAATTTGAAATCCTCTTTGAAATTCACTTCCAGATGGATCTGAGTTTTATGCAGCCTAGGGCAGCTGTGCTCTGAACCTGCAGCCTACCTGGAAGGTTGGATTGCAGCTGCAAGCATTCTTAAAAGCTTTTGCTTGCATAAGCACTTGGACCCACTAGAGGCTGAATAGCTGCTTGATAAACAAAATGAACACAATGCCTCAAATCATTATTCCCGAAGACAGGATTTTTTTTTTCAGCAACAGCTAAAAATAGTTGGGCAATTTACATTTTAACAGTTGTGTGCTTTGCAGGGGTAGGTGGTTCCACAGTAGAACATGATTTCTGCTAGATTAACAGAAGTCATATTTAAATCTGACAGAACTGCTAAAACATGGAAGTGTGCAATCTTTCTGGTGATTTGTTACTATAATTCTATAAGAGTAACAAGTTAAATTACATATTAATATTTGGTAGAACTATACAGGTTTTAAAAAATAAATTAGTAGATGAAAAATTCATCTCATTTCTTTGCCTTATAATATTTTAAGAAACATTATCTTTTTGCTGTTTCATAGTTCTTTCATTTTGAAAACGAAAGGGCAAAAAGGACAGAGCAGCCTGGAAAGAGAATAGAGGAGGTCACCAGTGTTCTTTATGTCCTAATAATAACTGTATTCACTACCTGGAGGTAGTTCTCTATATTGTCTCAGGTCTTAAAGATGAGAGAGAAAGTGAATGAATTTTGATGAAATTTTTATTTCTTTGAGAACCTCTAGGCAATTTCACAAGTCAAGCCTACTTATATATATTGTATTACTAGCTGCTTTATTTAGGATTTATTAGATATGTTTCTATAAAAAAGATTAGAAATTATTATTTTCAATTCTATACTTAACATCAGTATTGAACATGATCATACTGCTTTGAAACCATGATGAAAATAGTTTTTCAAACATATTAAAAGTTATTAAGAATATATAAATAATGCATTTTAATTGAAAATATATTTTAGATTAAATGCTATGTTGAAATCTCAAGTTTTAAAGAATTTTTTTAAACTAAAAACTAGTACTTTGATAAATGATACTAAAATAACAAACTGAGAACACTTATGGCTACACTACTTACCTTTTTATTGTCTAAAACAAAGGGAATTAAAAATACCGGTTTTCTATTTGGATGCTTTTACTGAATATATTTAATTCATAGGCCTTTTACAATGTGTATTGTTCAAAAATGGGTATAAAAATGAAAACGGACTATGTATATTTTATTTCATGGTCATTTGTAGATCTTACTTCCCAAACTAGAAACTTCACCATAATATTTCAGATGTCACAGTTTGCTGCTGGTCCAGTCAGTCTTTAGTCATCTGTAAAATGCATGTTACCTTTACCAAAGAAAATAGAAGAGCTAGGTTAGTACTGCATCGCTTACACAGCTCTGGAAAAAAAAGGCAGGGTTACTTAACATGCCAAACTTGGATAACTACATAATTTGACCACAGATTGTTGACTAGAGGCCTTTTCTTTTTGTAAGCCATGCTACATATTTAAGTATCATAGTTACAAACCTTAGCTCTTCTGTTCCTCTTTGCAGAACAACTGAATGATAATTTCTGTCTGTGTACAGCATTGAAACACGTATATTATCTAGGGTGAAACAGTTCACCAGCCCAGGTTGGGTGCATGAGACAAGTGCTCAGGCCTGGTGCACTGGGAAGACCCAGAGGGATTGGGTGGAGAGGGAGGTGGGAGGGGGGACCGGGATGGGGAATACATGTTAAAAAAAAAAAAAAAGATACACTATGGTTGTGATAAAAAAATAAATAAATAAATAAATAAATAAAAAGAAAAAAAAATAATAATTTCTGTCTGTGGATAAAAGTCTGGTAGCAGTGTATTGACCTTATTAAAGCAGTATGGTCAGTGAGGTTAAGAAAACAGTATGTTCAGATCTGCTGTCTGAGTTATTGATTGGTTGTATGACCCTGGACTTGTCAGTTAGCCCTTGAGAAGTTTGGACTAAGTTCCTTTCAGGTCTAAAGTGTTACATTCTTAGGATTTTAAAATTAATATGCTCAGTACATAACCAAAAGGCATAATGGGCATAGTTTTCTTCTTACCAGTGAAAAAATGGTGTTCTTAAATTAAACATGTTTCTCTAGACAGGTTGAAATATTGAACAAAGTGAACTTTTGTAGCAGCAACTATAGAGCGATACCTGGAAATTGAATTTGATCATTGCCTGCAGGGAACTAGTGTGACAAACAAGCATTTAGTGAATTAATTGTATATATTTCAGTGAGGCAAGTAAAAGTGTGTACCAAGTACTCTGGAAACAGTAAGTAGTTAACCCTGCCTTGGGAAGTACTAATGACATCAGGAGTTGATGTTTGAACTCTGACAAGATTAGCAGCAGTTGATACAGATAAAAAGCATAGACATGTGAAAAAAATAAACACATTCTGAAGCCACATCTAGAAGTACAGCCTTAACTGAGTTCTATACCCAATACAGCCTTCATGCATTTCCTATAAGGCAGGCCCACTCTCCCATCTAGAGACAATTGAGGAATACACAAGACCAACTCAGATATGAAAAGGGATAAATTGTCATGGTAGTCTAGCTTGGATAAAAGCCTAAAGCCTCCTGGCCAATAGATAATAGGAGGCATTTGTAGTTGTTAAGACTATCTGGGAGTTTTTCTGAAGGCATGAGTGTGCTTTGACTTAGCAGGATGTCATCCTTCCTTTTTAGGGCTCCTGAACCTCCCCTTCCTCCTCCAACCACTAACTTTAGTCTTTGTTCTTTGTATGTACACAAGCTGTTTTTCATCTGTATCAGATCTTTACTGAAATAAAACATTTGAGGAAATTTTGAAACACTGGATAGGGATTGAAGGCAATTGTGGTTTGTTTCCTAGTAATTTGTGGGCAAAGTCGAAACATTTGCATTGTATTTGTTACCTTCCTTTACAGTCTCAATATCACTTTGTTAGAATGACACATATCTTACATGTGTGGGGTTCTGTGCTAACCATTATCTTATCATCTTAATCTTTAACTTCGTCACACAAATATACAACTAATATCCTCTTCTTAACAAATGAGGAAATTGAGACTCAGATATTAACTTGTCCAAGATTACACATACAGCCAAAAATTACAACCTAACAATATCAAAGACCATTTTCTTTTTAATTTGAATGTTAAAGCATATTGTGTATTTTGGCATACTCATAATATGCCTTGGTATATTAAATTTAAAACAGTTTATTCTGTCAGTTATGTTTTTCTTGAGCAAACTTATTCATTGCTTTCTTATTTAAAGACCTACCGCCATCTGAAAGGATGTTACAGAAAACTAGCACATACTTCCTCGTCAGGCAGATGGGTTTTGTCTGGCCTCAGCTGCTTTTTGTTTTGTAATCTTAGAGAATGCTTTTAAGTTCCCTGAACACCAAGTTTCTGTTTGTGAAAGGAGATAGTAATGCTTATCTCAAATGTTAGTACATGGGCATTATGTGCCTAACGTGTGCCTGGTATATAATAGATACTCAGTAAATGTTCCTTTTTTTTTTCTAGTTCCTACCACTACAGCCTGAAGTTTAAAGGAATTTTTACCATTTCATGTTACCCACCCCCCTTTTTTTCTTGACTGCGTCATGGAATTTTAGTTCCCCGACCAGGGATTGAACCTTCGGAAGTGAGAGTCCTAACCACTGGACCTCCAGGGCATTCCCATACCATACTTTGTTGAAAAGCAAGGAAAAGTTTGAAAACATAAATATTATGATTATTTTAAAAAACATAATGTATGTACTTGGAACATTGTAAGTAGTAAATTGT